AGGAAGATATTAAGAAAGAGAGGGATATAAACTGGAATGAGAAAAGATATGGGGAAAAGAGGGAGAGGAGAAGCAGTAAGAAACATTTGCATGAAATAAAGAAATACAGAAATGGTAAAATGTTGAAAAGAAATGGTTTTTTCAGAGATAATGGTTGATGAATTAAAAGGGGGATTCTGCAGGGTGACAAGGGGTAATACGAATATTTCTGCAATTAAAAATATTTAGAAAATAGGGTAATATAAATACTGATAACTTTTATTAAAAATTAAGGGAGGGAAATATGCTGCGGAATCCAAATGAAAAGATGTAATGATTACTATTGTAACTTCTTAAAAATAATGGTTTATTGGGAATCAAGATGAGGGAATAAAGGTATATTTTAATCATTGAGGTGTCACACTCAAAGCAGTAAAAGGGGGGAAACCTATACTTGGTTTTTTTTCTTTAGTGTTAAAATTTGAATTAATCTAGAATTTATAAAAAAAATGTGTAATGGAAAGGAAATATGACAGACTAAAGAACCAACTAAATTAATAAGTTAATATAGACTATTAAAAGCAAGGAGAGACATTGGTAACTATTACTATTATTAGGCAAACACATATTGTTTATCTTTATTTTTAAAATAAATATTAAAGGATTATATTTGAAATAATTGAAATGAAACAAAAAGATGTTTCGATTGAGATTAATGAAAGAGGCTAGAATTAATGTGTTTGTTTCTCTCCTTACTGAAAATTTGGAATGGAAAAGGTAATAATAGAATTAAGTATGCATCTATGAATGTATAATTGCTGTCATATTTGTATGTAAAGGTGATGACCCAGAAATATGTTGTCCACTAAAAAGAGATTTTTGTTTTTAATGTGAAAACCTGAATAAAATTTGTTAAAAAAAAAAAGGAATCATTACTGGGACATACTCTTTGGTGCTTGAAAATAGGCAGGAGGGAGACTATTGGAGATATCTAGCCTGTTGTTTTAATAGGTCAGCTTCCCTAGGTTCCTGCCTTTTGGCCTCAACTATTACTGTATTCTAAATAAGTTTTCTCCCAGAGGTAACAATATTAGATGTAGCCCACTGTTAGGAAAGACCTGGAAGCTAAAGAATGGACTGTAGGGTGATACACAAAGCAGAAGACTTTAGTTTCATATACTTAAAAGGCATATCTGCAGATCAGATTAAGATACATCTATTCAGCAGGTTTTCCGAGGCAGCTTGCCAGCAGTTTCTGGAAACCAGACTGAAATATGGGATGGTAGCCATCCCAGTGTCTAAAGGAATAATACTTACTGCTTGTTTTCTTTCCTTTGCTAGATTTTCTTTTTGACAAGATTAAACAGCACTTGGTGCTTATGAGTTTCTGAACACCAATACATCCCCAAAAAGTTTAGATTGGGGAGGAAGTGATAGCATAAAGGTGAGGCAGGTGTAGACATCTGGCAGCTCCCAGTTTCACCCTCTGTCATCTCCACTTAAGCTGTATATTAGGTAGTAGGAATGTGACCCCCCGCCCCCCCCCCCCCCCGAGTCATCAGTCTAGGAAAACTGCTGTTGAAGGAAAATACAATCCTGGGCTTGGCAATCTCACAGGGGACAGCTTCACAAAGTTGTATGTAGGTCAGCTAAATGACATAGCAAAGACAACCCATTTTTTTTTAAAAAAAAGTTGTTCTCTTTAACATTCAATAAAGTAAATATTCCAGTCCTATACACATTTACTCCAAAAGAAACCCAAATAGCTTATATTTCCATACACCTGAGTCCAACTGGGATGGATAAGAATCAAAATTACAACCAATGGTTATTTCTGTCTAAAACAGAGTGGATACCATTTGATCTACATCTGTGTGCATTCTCTGACATTCCATACCATGAAACAAGGATGTATCCAACCTGTAATTCAATTAAAAGAATCACCAAGTCCCTCTGAAACTCCTAGATATTATGTGAGAAAGTTTTAGTGATTAAACTGGACACTGGTTTCCAGCTAATCCAGTCATGCCATTTATTTTGCATTCTCCAAATTTCAAGTATTTTACATTACCTGTTTGATTAAAAGTGTAAGTCCCTGTATCATGTTCACTTTGTACTATGCATTTATATGATTGATTTTTCAAATATCTATGGAATGAGTATTATTTATAAAGATGGCTGCAGGAAATGTTGGGGCATCTTATTCCGTTGAAACTCTCCCAATTTCATTCAGAATATGCACTTATCCTTTATTTAATTCTATGTAGTGTGGAAGTTAAGGCATCAGCCTGGCACCATAGAGATCCTGTTCTGGAAACTCACTAGAAAAAGGGATGTCATTTATACCCTCTTGAACTTGTGAATGAAAAGGGTAATATAAATTTTATAAAAGAGTAACTTCTTTTTTCTATGACAGATTCTTTTGCCATATATTATTTTCCCACACTTTCCTAAGTAGGAAAGTTTGTATATTCTTAAATCAAATATATTAAATTCAGACAAAAAAAAACACCTATATATGGGAATGTTGGAAGACATGCTTTGTAATTATTACTAATTATGAACTGTGATTTGAGCCAAGCCTAATTAAGTACATTTGATAGAAAGATAAGCTAGTTCTTAAAACATTATATAAAAGTTATCATCAGCATTACAATCTACTATTTCATCTCACCCACATTGTATTTCGGTGAATGGTTATAAATTGTATTTATTATATTATACAGTACTGTGTTATTTTCAGAGATGTAAATATTTGTAAAGTTTTGATTAGAAGAAAAATTTGAGCGCTTACAATTTTACTGATGTGAAATGAAGATAACGAATATTTTCTGGTTGTGCCCAGAAGTACTAAGGACTGACCATTTTACTGGTATGAAATTCTCCTTCGGAATTGTTCACCTGCCTTTTCCAGTCTAGACAATAAAAGAGGAACGAAGCTACCACTGCAGTATAGTTATGTAAAGCCTTGATTTTCTCTAGCAACATTTAAGGATTAATTCGTTCCTCAATTCTTTATTCAGAATCAGTAGAGGATATGGTGAGATGTGTGTTGAAAAGAACGAAAAGATACATTCGAACAAGATAATAGTTGGAGGTGAACATTACCCGTTAGACCTAAAAACAGAATATTTGCATAATCAGGAAAGTGGACTATATAGGATTATATTAAGCTAAAACGCCATTATGCTAGAGAATCTGCCGTAATGTGATGATCAAAAGATGGGGACAAGATAACTTTCAAACCGCTTACAGATTAGACACTTTATTTTCACATCCCCCTCCCCCCTCCTTTTTTTTTTTGCAGCAAAACCAGCGAAAAATCCTGTGGCACTTTTAAAGGTTATCAAATGTGTAATTGCCTACTCCTTGCTTTATTTTTATTGGAAGCCTGGCTGCTTGAGCAGTTTTATTCACATCTCCACACACAGTACCATAGTTAGCCACTTTAAACTAATTTGGAGCACAAAAATGTTGTTCCAAGGATTTTATAGCCCTGCCTGAGAACTCATCAGCTGGTGTGCTTGGGGAATCTGCTCAGCCCTCTCTCAATTGTTGCTCTCCAGCTGTGGTTGTTCAGAAGTGAGGATGAGATAAGAATTTTATTTGCTTTTTTTGTCATGACACTTTATGAATTGATAAATAAGAAAGGCAGAATTTAAACCTTAAAAAAAAAAAACTTAGAGCATGGGAGAAACTGATCATTTTATCTATTTAGGCTTAAAGAAATCCTCATGTATTCAGCCATGCTTATGATATTAAACTACTGGCCTTCTGTCTGACAAGTTCCTTATATCTATCACCTACTTGGCAAACAAACACAAGATGGTTCTTTCTGTGCTGTGTCGAAACTGGCTGGTAAAGATGAAGGAGAGTTTTGTTTAGTTTGCTCTTCTGGTAAGAACTTATGAATATTTCACAATTTCTTCATCAATAGGCTGGAAGGCATTTGATTTTTAAAAAAGAAAGAAAGCAACAGTTTGGTTCTGCTTTATTTAGAGTGCCCTTGCTTCTAATATAGGAGATAGGATTTGAGTACAATCACAACTATTCTACTTGCAAACTGATTGGATAGCTTTTTTTTTCCTTTAAGAAAACAACCAAAATTCCACTTTTATCTAACAGTAAACTCTATTTAATAGTGGTTACTCCGTAAATAATGCCACCAGCCGAAGGAGGCAAAGTAGAAACACCAGACTTGTAACTGCATATGGACGGACGCTCTCCTTCCCAATCACAAATAAGGACATTTTCCCAGGCAGGGGATCAGCCGAAGACAACTGGATAAAGTTTGGAAACGGATGTCAAACATGCAACTTCAAGGTCGCCGAGGCTGCAAAATCGCAGTCAGAAAGGCAGCCAAGAACACTTTTACGCCGCGCGTGGGGTTGAGGCTCCACTCCACCCAGCGTTCCCAAGGTGAGGTTTTGGTGCCTCCGTGGAAGGTGCCTTGCCTGGACGCTCCCAGCACCTGAGGCTCGATGACGCATCGCAAAGGGGAACCAAGTTCTTGATCAAACTCTCGCCCGCATTTCCCGCTAAAAAAATAATAAAGAAAAATAAATCTCAATTCCCCGGTATCCCTCCTCACCCCATTCGCCTTCCTGATCTTCCTGCCTGTTTCTCCAAGGGAGCCCGAGCCAGATGACAGGCGAGAAACAGAAGCCGGCAACAGGATCGGCGATTTCCCAGCGGCCAGAAGGCGCTAACTTTCGTTGGGCTATTGAGGAAAGGGAGTGGTAAGCGGTAGCCACGGCGCAGAAGGAAGCTTTCAGGCAAGGAGTAAGGAAGCAAAGCGGCCACAAGGCGCACTGGCTGGCTGTAGCTGCCACCGCCGAGTGGTCGCCCCCTGTGTGTGTTTTGTGTGTGTGTGTGTGTGTGTGTGTGTGTGTGTGTGTTGGCAGACTATTGGCTGAAGGTAGCTTGACGTCACAAGTGAGAGTTCCTATAAACTCCCTAAACATAACGGGCTCCGGACAAGTTCCAGCCGGCAAAGGTTACATCTAGGCGGGCGGGAGGTGATCAAAAGGAGGCGAGGCGAGGCGAGGCCAGGACGCGACTTTTGTGCCGTTCAGACTGCTGGCTGCATGAGGCGCACCATCGCGTCCAGCCCCTGGTTCGCTTGCCAAGCCTGGTTCTTCTCTTCCAGCGGGCCAGTAGCATCTGGGAGCAGAGTTCCTGCAAAGGTTAAGCGGACGGGGACTTTGGAACGGTCGAGCCGACAAAAGCAAGCCCAGCGGGGCAGCGCCTTCGCCAAGCAGCCCGGCGGGATTTGCTCCTATTTTCCGGATCGGCCGGGACCGAGAAAAAAGAGCGAGGCTTGGTTCGAAGGCTACCTGGCGCAATGGTGACACTGAGCCCCATCGATTCGGCGCACCTCACAGTGAGCGCCAACGCCAGTAACAGGCAGAGCCCGGACAATTCCACCGCGTCCGGAGAAGGCTGGGTGGTGGGCATGTCCATTCTCATGTCGTTGATCGTGCTGGCCATACTCTTTGGCAACGTGTTGGTGATCACGGCCATCGCCAAATTCCAGAGGCTGCAGACGGTCACTAACTACTTCATCACTTCTTTGGCATGCGCGGATCTCCTGATGGGCCTGGGAGTGGTCCCTTTCGGAGCCAGCTACATCATTCAGCGCACCTGGAAGTTTGGGAGTTTCTGGTGTGAGTTTTGGATCTCAATTGACATCCTCTGTGTGACAGCCAGTATCGAGACGCTGTGTGTCATCGCTGTGGACAGGTACTTTGCCATCACTTCTCCTTTCAAGTATCAGAGCCTTTTGACCAAAAATAAAGCCAGGATGGTCATCCTCTTGGTTTGGGTCATTTCAATCTTGACTTCCTTCTTACCTATCCAGATGAAGTGGTACAGAGCCAAAGGGTTGGATGCCAAGTATTGCTATTCGAATGAGAGCTGCTGCGACTTCTTCACCAACCGGGAGTATGCTATTGCTTCCTCTGTCATCTCCTTCTATGTACCTTTGGTGGTCATGGTTTTCGTCTATGCCAGAGTCTTCCAGGTCGCTCAGAAACAGCTAAAAAAAATAGACAAATGTGAAGGACGATTCCATCAGCAAAATTCCAGCCAGGAGCGAAACGCGGGAAAAGGAAACCATAGGAAAGCATCCAAGTTTTGCTTGAAAGAGCACAAAGCTCTCAAAACTCTGGGCATTATCATGGGTACTTTCACGCTGTGTTGGCTCCCGTTTTTCATCGTCCACATTGTGCGAGTTATTGAAGAGCCCTTGATTTCCAAAAATGTGTATATCTTTTTGAACTGGGTGGGATATGTCAATTCTGCTTTCAACCCTTTAATTTACTGCCGAAGCCCAGACTTCAGGTATGCTTTCCAGGAGATCCTCTGTTTCCGGAGGTCTGCCTTGAAAATGTATGTCAACGGATATTCCAATAGCAATGGGAAAAGTGACTGCAATGGGCACCACAGTGACTATCATGCAAGTGAACACAAGGCTGGCCAATGGCTGTGTGAAGAAAGAAGTCCCCCTACTGGGGAAGAGTTTGTGCATTGCAAAGGTACTGTGTTGCATGATAGCATTAAGTCCCACCAGACTGAACATAGCAGAAATGTCTACCTGTTGTCATGATTGCTGTGGCTGCCAGAGGACCTGAGCAGGGATTATTAGGCTATAGTGACTATAGCAACAGCTCTTTGTGAGCAAACGTTTACCTCAAATGTGGGAAGAGTCCTGTTGTTTTATTCATGGGCTACAGAAATATTTAAGGAAGGGCATATCGGATTTGAATAGGAGAGCTTCCTACTCCAAAGGAGTTTTTATTTTCACTTTTATTTTTTATTATGTACTACAATACTCAACTACCTCTTAGCATAGCCATGTTAGCACTTAGACTTATATACCGCTTCACGGTGCTTTTACAGCTCTCTCCAAGTGGTTTTACAGAGTCAGACTATTGCCCCCAACAACCTGGGCCGTCATTTTACTGACTTTGGAAGGATGGAAGGCTGAGCCAACTTTGATATTAAACTTATCAACTGCTCCTTAGAGGGAAATTCCTGAAGTCAAGCAGGAATTGAGCGATACTGGCAGTTTTTAATCTGCAGATGAGGGAAGAGGTTGGATGGGTTGTACAGTTTTTAGGAATCCTGCAAAGTCAAATGTTTACTTTTTTGTACTGTCCATATTAGTAATGAGATTGTGCTTTGCTGCAGCTGACTCCAAGTTTCTTATACTTAGAAAGTGTGCTATTAAGGAACAGTTCCCGTATCATCTCAACTAATTTTCATTCACTTCATCATATTTGGATAAACATCATACCTTTTAATACTTTCAGAGATATTGGAAGTTTACATTTTCTCTAGTGCTGCTTCAATTCTTTGTTGTCTAGTGACAGTTTTCTTCAAATCTTCGATGTTCAGGAGGTTACATAAAGACTATGCCTAATTTTGTCAGGTATGGCTAATCCATCTTCACTATCCATTCATTGTATTAAATATGTACATATTTTGTGGATATCTACAATTCATGATTGTAGATATCCACAAAATATCTCATGGATTTACAATCTTGTCTGCTTAAAATCTTATTGTGGAAAACTCATTAATTAGAACTTTTTTATTTTACTGCTGCTGACATAATCCAAATAATCACAGCACGAAACCTAAGTGGAATGATCTGTTCAGATTAAGTTGTATTATAATATAAAACAACTTTTCATCTCAAGGGGTAGACTAATTAAATCACCGATTATGTCAATGGTTCCACTTGTCCCTTTCTGACTTCTAGTCATGTTGGGAAGGTAAAGGTATTTATTGCTCTGTTGGTTTTAGATCAGCAGGAGGCTTGCAAGCAATGCCCATGTAAGATTCTCTTTGCAAACGTATTTATGATTACGGAGGGATTTTTAAAGCCTTTTCACTATTTAAAAGTGACCAAGACAATCAATATTCTTTCTCCTTCCATTTTTGATAAAATACAGCCCACAAGAATCTGCATGCAATGAGTTCTGGAATACACATGGATCAGACTCCTCATAATAATTTTGGTTGTTAAATTTGTGCTTGGTGTACTTGACAACTACTTTATCCCTGGTGGTGTTGATCATTAGGATTTTAGATCCAGTGAGCTGTACACAGCAGCAGTTTCCCCTTATTCTATCAAGTTTTGCTCCCTTTCTCTCTACAGAGATTTTTTTTTTTTAATCTTGTATGGCTCTTTCAGAGAACTGGCTACATAAATTATTCCATCATGCATTGTACATAATTGTGCAAAAAATAAAACAGATTTGTTGCTTTTTCATCCAATTTACTCTGATTATTGAAGCCATCGCAAGACAATTGCTGCTCTCTGTGACAATTAAACTGCAGTAGTCCCCATCTATCTGGTATAAAGTGTTTAAGTTCTTTTCAAGAAAAAGTCCCTGCCCCCAAATCTCAAAGAGAATATTGCCAAATGAGCCTTCAGACACGATTCTAAACTTCTCTTGGCTTCATATTTGAAACTGCGATTTCCTGTGTAAACTCAGAGTGGCTGTGGTGTGCGCCTCAGATATATGCTATGTATTAGAGAGATGTATATATGTCTAATATGCACATGTGCACTGAACCACCGGATATTTTTCTATCTGCCACATGAATGGCTGTGTTCTGAGCCCCACCCTCCCACCCCCTCCCACCTCCCATTGCAGAATCTGAGGCAGTTTACCTGGCATGGAGATGTCTATCTTGGCAATAACAAAGTTTATTTGCAGTCTCTCCTTTGGCACAAAGCTCCCTCATCTGGTAATCAAAGACTATCTAAAGAGTAGCTATCATTATTTGATTTAAATACATATTGGGAGGGGTGGAGTGGGGAAACTTTGTAAGGGCATGTTTTCTAAAATTACAAAGACTCCTTGAAACTAAGTTGATGATTCATAAAGTTTGTATTTCAAAGGAATCAGCATTTCTTTGCAGACTTCAGGAACAGTCTAGAAATGTTCTTCAACATTGTATAGTTCTGTGTATTTTGAGTATCTGGTTAGGAAAGTTTTTCTTCAGAGGAAAGAAGGAAGAAAAGTGATCTAGTGGATAGAGTGTTGGATTAAGACTAGGAAAATCCAGGTTCAAGTCTTCCCCCTGCCCGGCCAACATGGAAGTTCATTGGGTGACTTTGGGTTAGTTATTTTCTCCCAGGCCCCCATAGGTCACACAGCTGTGTGTGTGTGAGAGAGAAGGGAAGATTGGAGGAAGGGCTGAGTTCCTGGAGGAAAGGTAAGCTACAAATGTAATGAAAAAAAATTAGAGAAGGGCAGTGACAAAATGCAACTGAATTTTGGAAAAATGCCTAGAGCAATGCTGCTGTCCAGCCACCCTTATCATGTAGTTGACCAAACTGAAATCCTGAAATCAATGCCCAATTAAACAGTCTGTTCTTTAGATTTTTTTTAGCGTGTCTCTTTTCTTTTCTTCTGGATTTGCTTGAGGTTTGGTTGCCAGTTCTCTGGAGCTGTTACATGGAAAGTTGATATGCAGACATGAGTCGACAGGTGCAGGAAAAGGAAAAATAGGAGGGGTGTGAGATGAGTGGAGAGCAAGGGCTAGTTCCTTTGGATGGCTGCAGAGGGAAAAACTGAGCAGTAATAATCTTTGGCTGTAACTCAGAACAAATCAGATTTTTTAGATATGTTTATTGAAGATTGAGGTATGGGCTCTATTCCCACATTTTTCTTTGTTTGAAGAGCTTGATTGCCACAGATGCAGGACAATATTAAAAACAAACTCAATGGAAATTATAGCTTAACCTGCACCCTTCGCAAAATTATGTACATTTCCATTCTTATTTGATGACCTATGTGGTTATTCTTAGTGGTGGTAGTATTACAATTACTACAAACATTGTTATTCCTTTGCATAAAATCTGGACTGCTGAGCTGAAGACCTTTGCATTTTTTTTAAAGCTGAGAGCTATTTTAAACTCCCCAGAGCATTTTGACTTTTTCCCCCACTCTTGTGAGCATAGTGTTTTTTTTCTCATTTTTTAATGAAGTTCTTCAAGTTCTGCTATTATGATTTGCCCAATGGCAGGTCTGTTAAGAATCAGCTCTCAAGATTTACTATACTTGTTCTTTGCACTTTTCAGATGACAGTGAGAAAGTGACAGGGAATCTTTACTTCTGTTTTGATTAACTCTGGACTAGTTCTGAATCTAGACTCAACTCAAGGAGTTGACTCTTATGAAAACAAAAAGAAATGGGAAGGAGGACATACTGTCCACTACATATAGAAGAAAGAGGCAGAACAAAGTAGCAATGCTTTAGAAATGATGACTATTACAAAAATGTTTTGTTTCTCTATGACATGGATAAAATCAACTTGATTAATGTCAGAATTTGGCCATAATCTTGATCAATTACCCCCAAAAATGGTTTCTCTGTGACATGGGTAATCATCAACTTGATTAATGTCCAGAATTTGGTCGTAATCTTGATCATCTAAGGCACAGGTGTCAAACTCATGGCATCACATTGCCGTCATGTGATGTTTTGTGATGTTTTTCCCTTCACAGAGCTGGGGTGAGGTTGGCCTGTGTGTGACGCATCCGGGCCACCAGTTTGATACCCTGATCTAAGGGCAAGAACAATTTTTTTAAGGTTTAAATCATGTCATATGAGTTTTGAAAGGATCTTTCTTCATTTAGCTCAATTATTCTTTAATAGGTAAGCTGACTTTTAAGTGCCTGTTCCCTTAAAGGCAAAATTTATTTAGTTGGGATGCTTTGTTATCAGAGATAAAATATCCTGTTGGGGCAGAACTGTTGTTTTGGTTATGCTATTTAGAAAAAACAGGAAAGTCTAGATTTCATTGCTTGAAATAGCTACTGATCAGTAATGGTGCGTGTTATGCTTCAAGCAGCTGGATTAGAAGATTCAGATTAGTCCTCAAGGATTTTAATAAGAAATTTCCTAGAATAGAATCTTGATGGGAAAAACATTGAGAAGAAAAAAACAGAAGTTACTTATAGGCTTAAACAAAGATAGCTCTGCAGATCCATGAGAGAAACACCCAAACTTCATTATTAAGTGATAATTTTTGGTTGGCCTCACTAAAAATGCCATTTAGCTGAAGATTTTGAATGAATAAAATTCTGTTTTTGAAGAAAAAATATCAACAAAAATATAAAGAAACACAAAATATATATAAATTAGAAAAAAGATCAGAGAAAAAGCAAAATTAGAAATGCAGAAAAGGAAAAAAAGCGAAAAAATAGAAAAAGAGTAACTTCCAACTTTCTTCAATATAGATATAAATATAAAATACATTAACCTCATATTCTAAAATCAATAACACACAGTAATTTCTATAATCATAAACAGTTCTAATCAGCAAATCCCCAAATTATAGTTGCATTTCTTTCAGTTTCAAGAAAAGAGTCCAAAAGTGGTTTCCAGGTAGAAAAAAGCTAGACAAGATCTTCTGTTTCAGGAATGCCCACGGCCCAGATGCGTCATGCTCTGGCCACACCCACGTCTGGTTTAGCGAAGGGGGAAAAGGTCATGATACGTCACGCGATGATGCC